GGTGACCTGGAACCATAAGCTATAGCACCCCAAACCATAACTCCAACAGTGTGATGAACATGTCTTTCAACAAAAAACTGTGGATTCCTCATTTCGCCACGTCGCCTTCTAACCCTGGCACGACCATCGTGCATGCCTAAACAAAATCGAGACTCGTCACTAAAGACAATACTGTTCCATTCCTGATCCCAGAGTGACTGTTGTCTGCACCACTCAAGGCGATTACGTCGGTGTTCTCGAGTTAAAGGGAGGACCCAGTGTGGCCGGTATGAAAACTAGCCAAAACTTCTCATTCGTCGATAGTGGAGAAACGGTCCCTTAAGGCCAATAATCTTAGGCGCCGATCTTCACGGTCTGTTGTTCTACGGCGGCGTCCAGTGCCCCTTGCTCTTTGCGTACGGCCTTCTCGAAGCCATGCCTGATAACACCTAACCACAGTGTCCACACTACTTTGCACTCTAACTGCAATTGCCCGAAAAGAAAGTCCAGCTTCCCGAAGTCCCACTAAATGGCCCCTATCAAACTCACTAAGTTGACGAAATCGTAAAGGTCTCCGTACTCTAGGCATCGTAACCGATCGTAAAGGATGTCAAGAACCAAAATCCGCCAAGGTTGATTCTTTACTGCGGCTGAAATATTCATTTTTAGAGCGTTAGTGAATTAAAAAAAAGCAGTATAAAAGCCGGAATGTCCAACTGATAAGGCTGAAAATTTTTTCACTTGTTATTTACAGTAGGATAAATACATTCACCAACTTTTATTAAAATAAAACCATTTAAACTGGGTGTTCGGATTTATATGTCACTTAGTATATATACCTGTTAGAACATAAAATATACCATCTAACATGCCAAATACTCCTTGATTTCAGGCAGCTCACGGATAGCGTGTTAACTGCAGGAGCACATGCTCAAGTTTGGCAACATCTTTCCGCTCTGGTTCCATCACCGCAACCGCATCCCGGCGTTCGTGCTGTAACATCTGGCCCGACATGCAACTTGAGGTCTCCTGTGATACGGACACTGCTTTTCTGGCAGAAGCCAATATTAAATTTTTAATGAAACTTTCAGTTATTGTTTGGCAGATCCCCCATTTTATTGGCTGCGAATTTTCCGAATAGGGAAAGGATTTATTGGAATGCAAATAATCCATAACTGCTGCAGCATGTTCACTGGGGACGCCCATATACATCATATACAGGCCATATATAGACCATACACAGGTCATACATAGGACATATACAGGTATACATAATATAAACTGTCTCACAATCAGAATAAAAGTGCATGTAAAAAAGAGGCATAGTGACGCTACTGGAATTTCTTTAATAAACTATGTTATGTGCTTTACTGTACTGTACAGATCGGAGACTTTTTGACAGCATTATAACCGATTAATGTCTGACATGATTGTGTCCTTGGCTCATTTAATTAGTCAGGAATGGAGTAGCCCCGATCATTTGCTAGTAAAAGCTTAGTCTTCCTTTGTATCGATCAACTGAGCCGAATTTGGTAAGCACAAGTATAGTAGAGTACTCTTTTAACAATTTGGGCTCTGAATGGGCCTAAAAATGTTGAGTTGTAGGAAAATTAACTTCCACAGATCTTATTGCCGGATGCTAAAGGGATTATTTTATATCTAATGCGATAGCAATTTAATATTGTCGAAAATAAGCTAGAATCTTGAACACCATCAAAGAGAGGAAATCATCTTAGGGCATATAATGAAAATTAATGATACATACAGCTTCCAGCTAATACAAGGAACGATAGAAATAAGTAGAAGGCCAGAGCGCCGTCGCAGATCCTAGCTTAGAAATCTGAGATGGGTAGGATTAACTACAGCCGACCCATTTCGAATCCCTGCTAAAATATGGCGGGCCACTATAGTCGCCAACGTTGATTGGGAATAGGCATTAGAGAGAGATATTATTCCGAATTCCATTATGGGCAATAAAAGTACAGTTTCTCTCAAAAACGGTTTATATGGTTGATTTTGTCATCAAACATATGACCACAAACATATATCTGTGGCTTGGTCGAACAAGGGCCTATGTACAAATTCGCAGAAATTTAGCTAGAGTGCCTATCTTACTGATCGAATGACTCTCTTTCCAATGAAAATGGTCCCAAGAGAATAATCCTAGTAGATTTCGATAAAATCCATGTGACAAGGGCGCAAGTGTGTGGGCCTAACTACAAGATATAAAATGTAAAGTCCAATCTACCGTTTGCGCCTTTTTGAATGGTCCCATGTAACAAATATATTATTAATTTATAAGCATAAAACGGCCTAAGTGACTAATAGGCCCAGAAAATAGAGACCTATGAGACCTTGGGTCTTTAAAATATCCCCTTTCATTTAAATGCTTAGGGCCTAACTGCCACTTATTCAAAGTGCATTGAAATTTCTGGGCCTATGTCAATTTGGGACGTTTCATTATTCAAAAACACACATTTGAAAAGGGCCTCTGTGCAACAGAAAGACATAATAGCTTTCCGCTTTAGGTCGGATTTGCCACATAGGCCTTTTTGAGTTTAAACGTATTTATTGTGTGTATCTGATGTGTAACATAGGCCTCGGCGCAATTGCCGGTAAAAACATAACCTCAAAATTTTATCTAACGAACAGGTGTGTGTGGCACGTTTTTTGTGACTGTTTTGTGATAAATTCTCAATTTTTGCTGCATTCTTTTTTGTTCAAGGTAAGTTTGAGTACTTGAAAGAATGTTTAAGATGTCGTAGAGTATATTATTATTGTAGAACATGCAAACATAAACCAAAAGTTAAAATGTCTTTGTACAATGAGAAACATCAGTCACGAAGCCAGAGGATGGTAGATATAGCTAAGAAAAATAAAACGGAAAATTCTAACATAAATGACGATGTAGCTACCACAACCGATGACAATAAGAAGATTATCATTTTGAAAAATGATGTTATTCAAGTAAGTTTTTTTCTTCGGAGCTGGTATACATAGCGTGTAAAATAGTACCTATTATTTTGGAGCTAAAATTGTAAAATATAGTGATTCTAGAAACCTCATTGTGGCTTGGTTAGCGAGCAAGTTGTTAACAATCAAGATCAAGACGAATACCAGTCTATTGATCAACAACCAATGGAACTTGTAAGAGACTTTGTTAGCGAGGAAGTTGTTAGCAATCAAGATCAAGACCAATACCAGTCTATTGATCAACAAACAATGAAAATTGTAAGTATCTTGATGAGGAAAGTGGAATTAGCTATGTTGTGTATATTAAGATCATCCATCATTAACCTTACAAAAGAGTAGCATTATAAGTTTGAAATTGAAAATACTATATATTCCAGGAACCACATTGTTCCTCTGTGAACCAGCAAGTTGTTACCGATCAAGATCAAGGAAAACTTCAATATATTGATCAACAAAATATGGAAATTGTATGTTAATTGATTTGAAGGAAAATTTAAACTATAGATTTATATTTTGCAGGACGTAGGGGACAACAAAAGCGACATAACCGATCCTTTTGCTACTGATTCAGATAATTCTTACAGAACAGAAAGTGACAATGAAACCAGCGAGTCAGAGAGAGAAACACAAAAAAGGAAAAAAAAGTCAAGAAAAAGAGTCAGAAATGAGTTAGGGTGGCAAGTATCTAAAAGGAAGGTTGCAAGAGCAAATGGCCAAGAATATAAAACAAAAAAGAATAAAATTGTCCAGGCAAAAATCTTGAAAGAACCATGTAGATGCAAGAAAAAGTGCTATGAAAAATTTAGCCATGAGGAAAGGATAAGTATTTTTAAAGACTTTTATTCTTTGACATATAATGAACAAACTCAGATTTTGTCAAGTTCAGTTAGGGAATTTAAAAAGCGTCGATGCACTAAACTTGAAGAAGACAGCAGAAGATCATTTAGTCATACCTATCTACTGAACAAAGGAGGATTACCTATAGAAGTTTGTAAGGTGATGTTTATGAATACTCTGGATGTAAGTTTTAAAAGAGTAAGATATACGATTGAGAAGTGTAGGCTTTCTATAAGCGGAATATGTGGACCAGACCAAAGAGGGAAGCATGGCAACCACCATAAAATATCAGATGAAGATAAAAGTTTTGTAATTCAACATATCTCTAAATTTCCAGCTTACAAGAGTCATTATTCTCGATCGCATTCAGAGAAACGATACTTATCTCCCGATTTAAGCATTCAACAAATGTATAGGCTTTATATCGAATATTGTAAAGAAGCGGAAAAAACTCCGGTGTCTGACCACTATTACCGAAGTATTTTTGTGTCCAATTTCAACCTTTCGTTTCATCCACCCCATAACGATACCTGCAGCAAGTGCGATAAGTTAAACATCTTAATAAAATCTTCCGCTGATGAAGGACAAAAAATAGACTACGAACGAGAAAAAAAAGAACATTTAGATGCAGCAGAGAAGGCATACAATGCAAAAAGGATTGACAAAGAAAAAAGTAAACAAGATGAAACTATAGTAACGGCAATGTTCGACTTACAAAAATGTTTACCGACTCCCCACCTAAAAAGTGGAATTGCCTTTTATAAAAGGCAGTTGTGGGTTTTCAACCTAACAATATACGAGGTTACAAAATCCAACGGAAATAGATCTTTTTGTTTCATGTGGGACGAAACCACTTCAAACCGTGGAGGACAGGAAATTGCATCCTGTCTCCTTAAGTACATAAGAAACTTGCCCCCAGAGGCAACCTGTCTAAATTTATATAGTGATTGCTGCTCAGGGCAAAATAAAAACATTCATGTTGTTACTCTACTGTCCAAGGTGTTTCAACTTTTGCCACCAAACCACATGCTAAAAGAAGTCCACCACAAATTCCTAATCTCCGGTCATACTCACTTGGAAGCAGACTCGATTCATGCTTCAATAGAAAAAGCTAAAAAGCACACAACAATGGATATACGTTAGAAATACCCAGAGACTGGTCCACTCTGGTTCGCAGCATTCAGCGAAAAGGAGGAATTAAAGTCATTGATATGTCTCAGGATGATTTTTACAATATAAGCGCTCTTCAGAAAGCGTATTTTGTGAATAGAAAGAAAAACGCGGACGGAGAGCAAATGTCTTTTTTGAAAGCAAACTATTTCCTCTACACGAAGGAAAACTCTGGAAAAATTTTCTACAAGGAAGGCTTATTGGCAAAAGAAGATTTCAAAGTCTGGGATATAACAAAGAAGAAAAAAGGACAGCCAGATGAGACACAACTCGTTTTGGAAAGGCTACATAATTCGTACCCGTTGCCTCTTCCAAAAAAAAAATTGGACGACATTAATACGTTAATACAATATATACACCCAAATTGTCGGCTTTTTTATGCTAATCTCAAATCAGAAGAAACAGCTGCCGATGAAGATGTATGTCCGACAGCTATTTTACAATATGATGAATAAGCCTTTTTTCATTTTTTTGCCATTGTAAAAAAAAGTAAAGTTTTAGTTTATGTTAATATCTAGAAAACAGTTCTTGAAATTATTTCTATACTTTTATAAAATATATGACATTGCCAACTGTGTTTTATTGTTATTGACGCTAAAATAAATCATAATGGGGAAAACGTTTTATAGTCAAAAAAGGCCTAAGTTATACTCTTTCCTACAATGGGGCTTATATACCATTTTCTTGGGCCTACGTGCGTATTAGATATAGGGTCTATGTGAGTTAGGCCGAAATTGTAGGGGCCTAACAAACAAAAATATGTGAATAAATGAATACTTCCACGAATTTTCAATATATTTTGGATCATAGCACATCCAGTTACATGCTACCCAAATTTCATTCAATACGGATAAAGGATTTTTGCGTAAGAAATAATTTTGTTCCAATTCACAAATCCTAAATTATCTCCAAACTTGATTTTCGTAGATTGGCCCTTGTTTATCCAAGCCACAGATATTTGAAATTTTATTTTATACCAGACTTAGAAAAGTTGACTAGGTTGCGTTGCGAGACCACTTCGAGAGAATACCATTTTATCTGAGGCCTTGGTCTAAGCTATGATAAAATCGAATTGTTAACTAAGCTGCTCCTTTCTTTATAGGAAATTGTTATAATTGTTATATATGTTTTTACTAGAATGTTCTAAAACACATTCTATGTTTACATGAGCAGCAATAATTATCAGTTACTTAATTTAAGATGCGTTGTTCTGCACGGTGACATGGATGCATTGCCATCTGAAAAATATTATCTTGTAAATAATGTTGAATTTTGGTGTCTGGGAGGAAAAACGGAAACAACCCATCTTTTGCAACTATGTTTTGCAACAACCCTTGTATGTAGAACGTTTATTGAAACATAATGTTATAATGCTTAATAATAAACAAAAACAGGTACTTTGAAGAGATGAACAGCCTACTATTAATTTGAGTGATGCAAACTCTACTACTGTCTGTTTTACTTTTAAAAAATTGAAAGACATCCAAGAAACTACTTCTTTACTTTTTCTGGTCTATTATTTAACGTGCGTTAAATAAAATATCCAATTGCATTTATTAAGCATGTCATTTTCCGGTCACTTTGTCACCCTCCGATCCCGTTCAATTTAAAGAAACCCCAACCGACTGTGTCATCTACAGCGCAAGACGTAGGCATCATGAGTGGCTTTTAAAGTGATTGCAGGACCGTATTTACGCAATTCTGACCCTCAGATCGATACAAGATGTGCATTATGCTTAAGATTTTCTGAAAGCTCGTTCGCATTGATTTCGCTTGACCTGATGTGAAAAGCAGATAAAGTTCGGAGATCTTCCTTTACAGAACAGTTACTAGAAGAGTAGTGGATACTGCATTTGTCAACCGTACCAGTGATAGTTGTTTCAACCCGCTTTTTCCAATACATCCACATTCTTTCTGCTGAATAGCTCTTCAAACCAGATTTTAATTAATTTGGTAGTGTCATATAAGACAGAAAATGGTTTGATTCGTGGGATGATTATACTGCTAGGTTTTATTGATAAGAGTGGTTCAGGAGTGAGGGAAAGAAATATTTGGTAGCATCAAATGGACAGCTAATTTATTGTGGGACATGTTTCTACAAAACAACGGAAGTGTAAATGTTTTTCTGGAATCAAAATGTCGGCACTGAGGCACGCTTATATTTGGGACTCCTGATTTCTGTAGTCCTCACAAGCGACATTGTATAACAATATAGTTTAGTTTACCCTGCCGATATAAATCACAATCGAAAATAAGCTGTATTTATGTGAAAACACAAGATTACGTTTTTCCTCACAAACAAATGCAATGTGTTTGCGAGGAATCGATCAAATGCATTGTGATATTTGGAAATCATAATTTATTATACGCATTTTAACAAGGAAGGTGGCTGACCTTTTGCAGCCAAGGAATTGTTTAAAATTTTTCTGTATATGTATTTACAGTCAACATTTTCACACGGATAGGAGAGTTCTAGAGATTATTATGGACCTAATTCCATAACGGAATATATTAAAATATTTATAAATAAGGATAAGGTTCGTAAAATGAATGTTGGAGAAATAAGTATATAGGGACCCGACCCTGTGTATTCAGCCCTCCGTGACACCCAAATGCCAAAAAAATTGCCCGTGCTGCTCCCTAAACGTGTACAGCGAAACTGAAGACCCTTTTTTAATTTCTTTTCTGTCGCCGGGGCTTAATATTACACCCCCAATACTATTTTTTCTTGTCTCATTTCACTTAATTGTTTCTATATATTTTCAACAACGTATTACGGGTTGTCTCCTTCCACAACGGCTTTGACTCTGAGTAAGTGGTATTCTGTCGAGAAGGCAGCAGCTATATGTACATTATTTTCGCGTGTTAGCTTATGATATCAAACTGAACAGCTTCTTTTTTAACTTTCAATTTGACATACAATTTTTTTTTTCGTGTAGCGGTAACTTCACAAACTTACGATGAATCTCAATGCCATGTATTTCTGTCGGTCTATCATTTAATCTGTCTCTTGAACAAAAAACAAAAACGTGCCAGATCGTCCCAGAACTTCAGTTTTTCACGTACCTTTCTGATAATACTTTTCAGAGGCCTCATTCAGTGTAAAGTCAACATACTTTACGCGATTTTTTTAGAGAACTTGACTGGATTGTAGTTTTCAGCCTACACCCATCAACCAAGCAACGGCAACGTTGTAATTACTAAAACACAAACTCAGCGCTAGCGGCTAAATCCGTACAGGTATACCACCTCGGAAATATTTCTATACTGAGTGACACAAAAGGTAAACACATACGTATGTTAAATATTAAAACGAAACTCTACTTGTAGTTAGTTCAATGTCGGATCTAACGAAACATTGTTTTCGGTTACAACGTTTAAAATATATTTTCTTCCTCAGGTCTCCTTTTAGTCGGAATCTGTGGTAGTTAAATGGAACTTAAATGTAGCTCACATTCTAGATAACAAGACAAAAAAACATGCAAGTAAATGACAAGCACTGATAGAATATTATGTTTCAACGCGAGTTTTATTACCTTGACCTACAACGACGCGTAGTATCACCAATAAGTCCAGTTTATATGTCTACAAATCTCAGTGACTACCAAAGTTCTAGTTTCATTCTTTTTGGAGAACAAGGACCTCTAAATCAGCCTAAGGGTGAATGTACCACCACATTTAGAACCGACGTTTTCAAAGTTGAATTTGTATTCGATGTTACGATGACCAATGTGTTTGGCGTCACACTTTTATGTCAATGACTGTACATCCGATTACTTATGCATGTCCCCATCGTCGGCAATCGTCGAAAAACAATACAAACCCAACAAAGTCATGAAGACAATCGTAGTTATTGTTCAGTTAATGCTAATGAGGGCTATCCGACGCTATTGTTCTAATTTCCCTGGCCGACCTTGCCCCCCAAAAGGCGAAAAGTCAGGATCCATTGTGCCGCGCACGACCCTCTGCCCAATCAACGGAAAGCTGGAAATGATATGCGTTTTTAAAAATTAGCTATTGTTTTGCTTTATTTACAACTCTCGTCGTTGGTTACATGGATGATTGGAAAAATACAGAAAACTTAGGGCTGGCATTGAACTCTCGGAATACTCGTAGCACTGAGTAGTTACATCAAGAGGAGACACTTCATGCAATGCCTTTATAGCCCGCAGGTCGGATACATTGACATTGGGTTTCTTCTGAATCATCTTATCTGACCAATCAGCCATGTTGGTCAGATTTGGAATGCATCATTTTGAGCTGAGGAGAATTTTTAACATCCTAGAATTCATAAACAAACTCATACACTAAAATTGACTTTCATGTACCATCCGAAATTTTCCGAAGATGTTGCTTTTTACTTGTGAACACCAAACATTAGTGTCATCATTGAGTCACTCATCTACTCTGTGCTCTAGAGATAATTGCGACATTCATAGCGATATAGTCAAAGACATGCTGGGTTAATTCAGTGAACACTGAAGTTTAATTTATGACACTTGGGGCATGTATCAATATACCCATTTTTCTCAATTTCTCAAGAAACTGGGGCTATCATTTTATTTAAAAATGCTGTAATCTAACGCTTTGCTTCAGTTGCATTTCCCCATAGTTAGATTATTCTGTTAGGCAATAAAGACATTTTATACTGTAGTGAAGGAGCATACTGCACATTCTTGGTTACCTCATCACCCGCTGATATGATACTATAAAAACTAGTCAAATCCTACCTATTTTTGTTGCTAAATACGCAGAGGTTGCTGTTTAGCATCGAAATACGTACGATTTGGCTAGTTCTTAGCATATCATTAGGCGATGTAACCAAAACTTTGTTGTTGGCCCTTAGACGGTTACTGGTTTACAAAAAACCGTCCTTGGTTTGGCTATTCGCTCATAGATGGCTTAACATTCTGCAACAATAAGCACGTTGTGCTATATTGAAAATAACTTCTGTATAAATGTCGCGTACCTAGACAGAATTGAGATTTGTCGCTGAAGATTATGCCATTCTGCCTCCCAATATCGCCGTTCTCTGCTCCAGTTCAAACATTCACGACAGTAGTCCGCAGTCAGAGGAAGCACTAACCGTGGACTGTATGAAAACATTCCAAAGGCTCAAATGCAACGATAGAGGGTACGCACAGTAACAGGTCTACGTTTTTCTCCAAATCATGGGTCAGCGATCTGACGCGTATCAGCAAAACGGTCTCGTTGAGCACTAGCAAGTTGTCTGAAGCGCCTAAGCATTCCTCGTGTTGTACTTTCTTCTATTCTAACTTGGTGATAATTTGGACGTCTTCAGAATAGTAGATGGAGGGACAATAACTTAAAATATCTGTACTACTGGGCTCTCAGAAACTGCTTTCTTCACAAAAACTAAGGTATGACATTTTAACAAAGGGAAGGGAGATAAAACGTTGACATTGCTGCCAGAGCAAGCTTTAAATATAGTAAG